ACCCCACCTTGCCATACAATGTCACTATTGAGCCCCCCCAATCAAAAAACTGCTCCGCCGTCCCTGGGATAAGGCCGATTGCTAGGAAGTTGAAAGTGAAGGTTCGTTTTTCTACAAATTGTTATTTACTCCATCTTGAAAAACTAAAATTGAGGGCTAAACAATTTTTCTTACTTCTACAAAGGTAGTGGGGGATGGGTGGTTTGAATCGAACCACCCCTAGCAACAAGCCTGTGGATGGCCTCTCCTTCCTTTCCACATTCTACTTTTGGATCTGGATTTCAATTTTTGGGAATGTAGACAACAATTATTATTATAAAGGGAAAAGCAATCTAACATTAGGATTGTTCCAGCCCCAGACAGTGGGAATTTGGACACTTACGACTCTTACATCGTCTGAAGCAGCAACGACTTTGATGAGTCCCAGGTGCAGGGCATTTAGCCGGGTTAAGCTGCAAGCCATAGCTTCTGGTAAATAACAGGAAACGTCAATAGACCATCAAAAATTTGTTAATTTTAAAAATCCTTGACAAAATGAGAAAACAATGCACCCTTCAAAAAAATTTTTTTTTCATGAAGGAAAGTCAAGAAAATTGTAACAACACTTTCTCTCTCTCACCCAGCTTCTCTAGTTCTTTTAGTTAATTTTAATTTTGAATGGCTGACATGTTTGCCTGTCTCCTGAGTATTAGCTAAATTTAATAGGTACTTATTAAATTCATGGATATTCTTGTTCATTGTCCTCAAAGTGTAATATCAGGGTTCAAAACTTCAATACATATACTGAAAATACAAAATTGCTAATTTTAACCCCTCAAAGATATCCAAGCACTGCAGTGGCAAATCCAGGGATGGGGTGTAGGGGGTGCGCACCCCTCCCTGGTTCGGCTTTGCGCCCTACTTTAAAGATTTAACCAATACAAAATTATGTTTTTTGCCTTTGATTCTAAGGGGTGCACCCCTCTCTGGCATAACTGTGTGCGCTGCACCCCTCCCTGAACAAATTCCTGGATCCGCCCCTGCACTGCCCCAATAAATTTGCCTGGGTGTTGTCAAATACACGCACTAGTACACATATCAACAAGCTAGACAAAAATATGTGGTGTCATAAGAAGCTTTATTGGTTTATTATTTATGAAATGAGGGATTACAAATGAATGTACTATATATTGTCAAAAAAATGTAACATCTTAGTAAATATAGGTAAGAAACTTAGTCAACATATTCCCCTGGAAACCAAAAATTTAATATACCACCATTAAAAATATCTAATTTTATCAAAACTTGTTGACTCTAGACTGAAGGCCTGCAATAAATTGATGGTACTGTTTTGGTGGAAATCTAGGTAAAATCTTTGGTACCCAGGATACCAACATGACATTTTTCTGAATTTGGAAGCAAATGCACTCAATGTGTCACATATGGAGGAAAACGTTTTAGATACTATAAAAGCAGGCGTGAATATGAAAATTTTGTTTTGTAGAATGATTAATTTTCAGTGAGAGATTATAATTATGTAGTTCAGATATTCCTCAGATAGAGTCACTTGAACAGCAGCAAGTACTTTACCAGGCATGCTTCTTGCAAAAAGCAACAGCCTATAAAATAGAAGGCAATGTTATGTTAATTAAAACGGTCAGTTCTAAGTAAAATGTTTCTCATGATATTTTCTACTTACATTACACATGACGGCATTCTTTTGATTAGCGCACCAGAATGAAGCACCCAGGTAACACTTGTTACTCAGTGGTTTATTGGCACTCTTTAGCTTCATGCTGCTCATTTTCATGTTTGAAGTACACAATCCAATTTCCTAGGAAGTCAAAGAGTATAAGTTATAATGTCAACACTAATTTTTGTCATCTTGAAATGATAATATTAATGACAACCTCTGACCCCTAACCCTTTGCGTATCCCAATTATCATTAACGGGTTAAAGAGTTTAATATCTGGCAAAATTTTGCTGCTTTCTTTGGCAATTCACCTCTCTTCCCTCTAACCAAGGACACCCCATCCCACCCACCCATCCCACCCAGGTAATGCTACAGAATCTGGAATACTGAGTACTGTCTCTGATGATCTATAGGGCATTAGCATCCTCACATCACTCATACTTTTTTAAAGCATGAAACGGCACCAATCAAAAGCATGATAGTTCAAACATTGCTGCTGTGGGCTCCCTGTCTTTATGTTTACGTTTATTACTAGACAAGGCTTTGGCACAAAGTCTAGATAGTAGGGCATTTCTTAAATTTAAACAAAGCTTTGACAATTTACCATGGTCTTCTGGAGTAAAAATCCAGAATCCTTTTTAAGTACCTTTTTGATTATGCTAATTTTCACTATTATCTTGGTATTCTCAAAGGAGTTTTAACATTGTGTATGAAAAGAGGTTTTTAACAAAATTGTGGTAGTTTAGGCTTAAAAGGTCATTAGGGTTAAACTAGGGTCTATTGAAAACAAAGATATCTCTTTACTTTTCTGGATGGATAATTCTCATCTTATTATTATAAGGGTCATACTTACAGTGCAGAGTGTTTTAGCATCAGCATTTGCAATCAGTTCCAAGACTTCCTTGCCATACTCCTTGACAATAGCATTGCACTAAAAATATAAAAACACCATATCTTTAACATACAACTATTATTTATTTTCTACTCAAACTCAAGTATTTAATACTTCATAGAACATGCATAGGCAAAATAAAGTTGAAAAAGCCAAAATCATAATTAGAAAGCGCTTGAAATCTCTGAGCTTGAAGACATGCAGATAGTCAGACTGTAGTCTGCATAGCAGCACTCTAGGGGAAGCTCTGCTATGCAGGCTAATCAGACTGTGCATATTTTATTATTCAAAGCATATATAAATAATATTCATTGCCTAGACCTATAGGGACCATTAAGAAAAAATCAAGATTTGATATTATATCTTACCTCACTTGCAATTTGAGCTGGAAGATAGTTGCAGACTTTTTCCAAATCAGCAATAATCTCATCCTGAAGAAAAATCAATATTTGCATGGTTTCAATTATATTCATGACAAAATAATTTCCCAAAATGATAGCCATCATCAAAAATCATCCTCTAAGCCGCGATAATACGAACCAATTTTCTCTGCAACTTGTGTTGCGACACAAGTTGCAAGAGTGTCTACACAGCCCAACAGAGACTCAATCATTGCCAAAAGTATAAACCAATTCTATTTTTTGCAACAATTGCTGCAATTCATCTCGCAACATATACATGTTTCAAATTACACTGTAGGTTACACACTGCAATGTTCCGTGCAACTTGTGTCGCAATGCCTTGCACGGAACATTACAATGTCTGGCTGACTTTTGTAAACAGGAATAAAGAAAAACAAGAAAATTTTTGGTTTGTTTTGGGAGTTAGGGATATTGAATACAAAGGATACAAATAGCAATGGCATTGCGACACAAGTTGCAGAGAAAATTGCTCCGTGTAATTGCACCTTCATTAACAGATTTTTCTCACATGTGAAGGCTGGACCAAGAATCAAAACCAAACACCCCAGACACAAGGGGCAAATGCACTATGGCTACCCCACCCTTCATTTCCCAGGGATGGGATACTGGAAATAGCTCTGCCATTATACATAGATCTCTCAGTTCAGCCCTCACTATCTAAACTGTATGCATGTACCACAAGGTTTTGAGAATTTGTTTGAGCCTAACAGCCTAAAAATTCAAACATTTTTCAATGTGACTTACTTCAGTGGCATTGTCTTTCAATAAAGATTTGAGGTATGTCATTACTATTGTGCAAATCTCACAAGTTTCTTGATTACCAATTCTAAGACGATGTGGCTTCATCATGGCTTTAAGAAAAATATTACATATATGTCCATAAGGATAAGGCATAAAGCTATTGTAACATTAAAGAGTCCCACTTGTGCAGGCAATAATAAAGGCTCACATGATGTTCATAAACAGTGAAATTATGATGATGATTCAATAATCAAACTAAATGACAAGACTTAACAAAAAAAAAATTACAATGTCTGGCTGACTTTTGAAAAGAGGAATAAAGAAAAACAAGAACAAATATTTTTTGTTTTGGGAGTTAGAGTGGTTGAATTTGATGCAAAAAAATATAAAGTTAGATTGAGTATGTTGTTGTAGAAGAAACATTTGGATTTGGATGTACAAATTTGTTATAAATTCAGGAGTACGAGTGCCTCAGCCCTAGAACAACTTTTTATGAGCGCCTGATGTAATAAATTATATCAAATACAGTACTTCATAGTACCTGACATGTGTTCTTTTGAAGCACACAATCCAAGGGTAGTGCAAATCAAAGAGGGGTTAAGCTCTTGAGAAAGGATTTGTAGAATTACTGGACCATATTCATCGATAAATGAAGTGCACTATGAAAAAATAAAAATAAAAATTCAGGGCCCGGTTGTTCAAAGCTGGATTAGCACTAATCCAGGATTAACTCTATAGGTCTTATTAAGAGTTAACCCAGGATTAGCACTAATTGGGCTTTGAACAACTGGGCCCAGTATAACAAAGAATGACACGATACTTTTCAACATGTCAGTTTAATCAATCCCTGAAACAACTTCTGGGCTGATTTAAGTTGAGCATTTACAAGGCTTTAAATCACAGATGAAACTGTAATTTAGCATAGGTGCTCAGAAAAGCTGTAGAAAAACTCTCTAATCAAGGGTAAGAGTATAGGGTAATAGCTACACTTTCAACACCCTATGGACAAGAAAATATACCATTACATGTGCAGCCTAAGTTTTGTTAAATTACATACATGGTCGTGTCACATTTCACTGATTGTATTCAAATCACCCAAAGTGCATTTCAAGCTTTGTATTCAACATGAGACAAAACCTTTGCAACATTTTTTGAAACGACTTTGTATGTTGCTTAGTCCTTTGCTGCATCTCTTGTTATGAAAATGTTTGAAGGAAAAGTCGATTCTTAATCCCTTCTTCATCCTCCCACACATTTACAGGCTTTACTTAGTACTAAGAATTAGGGCCTACTTAATATGAAATGATTGTGCTTGCTCCTTAGACATAAATCTGGCACAAACCTGAGTTCTAATGGTGGAAGGCAAGAAGCTGCACACTTTGTCAAGAGCAGCAATGATTTCTTGCTGTGGATGTCAAAAAATTACATTAATTAGTAACAATCAACTACATAAATAAATCAAGAATGGAAGTAATAAATAATAATAGGATGGAAGTAGTTTAGACAATGTGTTATGGGGTATGTCTAATAGAATGGGTTTGAGGAGAGGAAATTCTTTAAACACTTATAATAAAGCTTTTAAAAGGTTTTTCACAATAGACCTTAGTCGATACCAATATAGTGGCCATCTTGAATTATACCAAGACATTATGGGATTAAGACAAGGGGGCAGCTATTGTGAAATTTATAGACTGCACAGTTGTAAGGTGTCTTTATATGACTTTATGTTTTTTAATTATAAGCATATCTAAAAAGCAATTGAATTGGATAATAGTTGGAACAATATGTGATTAATGTGGTTATTTTATAAGCAAAGTTAACTTGGAGTGTGTTGCTGGTCGGCGGTGTGTTGTCGACAGCGCATGCGCTACTGCAGCCATTGCCCTCGTGGTCGGCCATTGCTCTCAGTCGCTCAGCATTGCAGCCTATTGTTGCTCTCTCCCCACCCACCCTCTCTAAGGGTTTAAAAAAAATGGTAAGTATAAACTTCAACTGTGTTAACAGTGTGACGGGTGCCGAGGTTGACCCATGGCAAGGTTGCCATGGTTACCTCTTGCCAATTGCTAGCCCTTGCTGTCGCCTTGCGGCGTTTATGGCACCTACCCTCCATATCGAAAAGCAACAAGTTAAACAGCAAAACTTCGAATTGATTTCATAATTGAAAGTGTAACCCCACCACTCTGTGCTTAATAAATATTTCTACTTTTGCCACCTAGGCATCCAATAATTCAAGATGGCTCCCATATCCATTAAAAAGTCTATTATTTAGAGCGATTTTTATGCTTTTGAATCCTCAAAAACTTTAAAACATCTGCATTTCTATTTTGAGCTAATAAAGTACTTACTTATTCATCTGAGGATTTAGGGGGCTGCTGGGGCTGCAATCCTCTTTTAGTTTGGGATTATTCTTTTATCTTTTTTTTGGTCCAAATAAACCCCAGAATGTAGGAAATAGCCAAATTTTAAGAGTTTCCTGAAAGCATGCCCCCAGACCTGCTCTAAAGTTTTCTGTCCTTTGATTTCTGTTAGTTAATTTTTTTCTTACTTGCTAAATACAAAATTTCACTTGCATTTTGTGTGTTTGCAAGCATTAATTTTGGCCCTGAACCAATGCACTTTTTAAAATTGATATCTGCAGGTTATGCTCACCTGGGTGGCATTGTTTCCCAACATTTGATCCAACTCCTTAGCGATAAACTCACAAAGGATGCATTCAGCAGAAGCCTTGATTGGGTATTTAGACTTGAGAACATGACGTTTCTTGGTTTTGAGGGAAGCAACCAGTTTGGATGGCATAGCTTTTCTCAATATGGTTGCCATGATCTTTTCCTTGCTTGCTGCGCACAAACCAAGCTTGGTGCAGTCTTCCTTAGGATCACCCTAGAAGTCATAGGAAAAAACAAACAAACAAACTGTAGCTGTGACAAACAATTTTCAGAGACTGCTAAAAATTGTTTTGTAAAAAGATGTTGAACAACACTGATAATTTGATTGCAGATTAGGTTTTATACATGAACGTACAGTGTACATGTAAGCCAACCATCAAGTAAGGCCTATACTTGAATGATTTTACAAGAATCTTCAAAATGATGCAGATCAATGCTTTAAGTAGCCTAATACTACCAAGCATTACAGCCTGTTTCATGTTTCTTCGACCTAACTGACTCAAGCCATCTGGCACTTTGGCTATGGTCAATCAAATCTACAACAGACCAAATGCATTCCTAGTCATAAGGATCCTGAGCGATAAATTTTCCCAAAACATTACAGCTATTTCCCCATGAGAAATAGGTTGTGGAGTTGCAGGAATATTTATCGTTCACAATTGAAATGCACTTGGCCTGTCCTAAATTTGATTGACAGAGGCCAAAATGCCAGACTTCTGGAGTCTGTTAGGTCACAGGAACATAACATGGGCTGTGATCAATGATCATGTATCTACAGCCATTAGAATGATTCATATAGCTGTATATTAGAATTAGAATCTACGAAGAAAGGTGTGAACCTAGACAATTGATTATTAAATCTTGAGCACTACATAAGCTTGTACTGGCAAACTGTGCATGTATGTTAACTAAGGGAAGCATCATACTGTACCATCAAATTGGCTAGCTCTTGGAAGATAAGAGGTGCATACTGTTCAATTATGGCTTTGCATTCATCTGCAAGAGCTCCAAATGATGAACATACTTGTTCCAAGTATCCTTCAACTGTTTTCTGAAGTAAACAATAATAAAACAGCAAAAACAAGTAGTGAGCAATATGCAATAAAGACAGCAATATCGTAAGTTGGAATTATTTGTAAATTATATACTTGCAATCTTCAAATAAGAGAAGCAAAATAAAATTGAGAAAAAAATTAATAAATGTAATAATCACTTGACTCTGATGACTTCTGAGCTCAGGTTGTCGATACATCAGTCACCACCAACAACAGTCTTTCTCAAGACTACACTCACCCAGACGATTTCAAACCATTTACTCTCAAATGTAATAAACTCACTTCAAAGTCAGGATTCATTATTTCTTTCTTCAGGAATGTTAAAACTGCCACACATTCATCACATGTAGCCTTCAAAAATAAAGAAGAAAGGGAAAAAAGGATTAACATCTACAAATCTTTTTCTTTTGGCATCAGGATTTTTTCTTTTGGTACAAAAACGAGCTTGTGAGATGAGAGTTGTGTGTTGAGAACATTACTATCATTATCGTTGAAATCCGACCCACAAAGTTCAATGTCTCATTTGCCAACTAGCATTTCAACATATGACTGTCAATCAAAGAAATGTTAAAAAAAGCAAAATCTTGTGAGGAAATTTTGGACTGAATTAAAGATTTCAGAGGATTAGAGGATTAAGATCTTTTTAGTCTAAAATCTCCTTCAAGATATTTCTTTTCAACTCATGGATATGCAAAGCGTAGTAAACAAGTTATTGTGAGGGGTCTGAATATGCAAATGTGTCAGTCACTATGGCATTAGCAAAACCACAGGTAGCCCATGCTGTGTTTCTGTGAGGGTCTTACTGAGAGATTGTACTATGGATTTTTTTGAATACAGAAATGAATGCTACAACCTTTTCAAGTTGTCTTGACCTGTACTTTATCTTGGTCTGTACTGAATTCCAGCTAATTTAGAGTTTTTTAAGTTGCTGAATTAATGAGACAAATCCTTATACGATCGTCCCGATTGTATCATAAACAATACAATTAATTCTAAAACAAAGACGGTCACAGGATCTAGTGACACATGCAGACGATGTGAGCACTGTGCTCCGTTCACTAATAAAGCACAGTTTTCTACCAATCAGCTTATAGTCAGCTATAATAAGTTTAAAAATTAGCCTCTGGCTAGGGAGACTCAGCAATGACTCCCAAAATATAAATGATGTTAAATAAATCACAGAACTGTTATCAGCAGTATTATGAAAAAAAGGTTTAATTTTACCACAAAAAGAAATTTAAGTATGAATACATATGTTTTTGCTTTTTCTTCCAATTCCCAGCAATAATTTAAGCATGCATAATAATTCTTCATAGTCAACATGCTTCACATACATTTGAAGATACTTTCACTTTCCAAACATTATCCTGGCAGTGTTTGACAGCATCACATTCCTTTGCAGTTTTGTAGTTTTGACACCAATATGATGGACCAAATGTACACTTGATGGTACCAACCTTGAAAGAACCAGCACTTACTGGAAAAGAATATAATTTAAGCTGGTGTAAGAAAATAGTTTGCTAATTGAGTTGGGCATACAGTCTGTGCATTACAATGAGATTCGTGCAAACAATGCCCATGAACATTATTCTCGTCAATAACACAGAGGATTATTCTTGTCAATAACACAGAGGTTACTGTTGTGATATTATATTTAAGTTTTGCTTTAGTTTTTTGGATTTGAGCTTTATCATCTCAAGCTTATATTTAATCAATAACTTATTAGCCATAGCTTTTACGTAAAATGATAGCACCTAGCTTGCTAGGGGTTGCATAACAGCATATTGCAAAACTTAACTTAAACAAAATCTAAACTTTACTTTTAGAGAAATTATAAATTATGTAGTGAAATTATTTATATCAATGACAATTGTGTTTGTCAGAAAATATTAAATTGTGAATTGAAGATTTATTAGGCTGTCCTAACTAAGCTACTGGTCCAAATCGAAATTTTCCCAAAAACTACGACTTTTATTTTGAAATTCAGTTGCATATTCGATTAGAGTAAATATTAAATAACTTTATTTTAGCCTTTAAATGATTTCTAAACAACAAAGCCTAGACAATAGCAGGAAATCTCGTGATCATCATGTGCAACGATGAGATCTTTCAAGCATTCTTTCCACTTCTACCTGTTTACATCGAACAAAACCCTTCAAATTTCCTAAAATTCCAATTTTAAACTTCTCTAAACCCTTGTGTATACTTTAAACTTACCTGAGGCAACAAAAAGAGCGAAAATTAGAAGTTTCATGGCGGATGTTTTATGAAGAATACAGAGACCCAAAACCTTCCTTCTGTCAAAGTTTAGTAGAGAAACAGCGGTATTACGGTGGTTTATAAAGGCGTAGAAGTTAGCCAATCAGATTGGAGTATACGAGGTGAAGTATAAGGTTCGTGATAATCACATGATGTGGTCGCAGGGGGCGGGGGAGGGGCGAGGCAATCATGCTATATATTTCCTCCAAAGATCAAAGTTTTATTCCAGGATATCGCTTAGAAAAAAAATTAAAAAAGAGTAAAATACGAGTAAATGAAGTGTAGACGACACATTCGATTGATAAAGGAGACTTCTAATCTAGGAAACAACATTTTCAGCCTAATTTCTAGGCCGGACAATTTTGGTTTGGAAGTTTAAGATATTACAAATATAAGGGAGCCAGATTTCCGAGAATTATTCAACTTACGCTGACGTTGCAAGATTTTTTGTGAAATTTGACACATAATATAAACATAGTTTTCTGCAAAAATAGAAATAAAGTATTCCGAAAAGGGAAACAATGTTCCCCGTCTGTCATGCTACACTGGCCTAGATAGCCCAGCTTGCGCAAGAAGTCTATCGACACGGACAGGGCAGAAAAACGACAAGCCCGCTACTTTCACGATTTTAGTCTTTAACTGAGTTTACTCCAAATTTTTAAGCGTTTCATTTGTGTCACTGCTGCTCGAAACCTGTAACGATTAGAGTATAAATCTACTTATTAGTATTCCGAAAAGTGTCAGTTTTTCTGGTGATCAAAATATCACCTCTCCCAAAGTACACGGCTTTATATAAACTGACGCATTCAATAAATTTTGGTCGCATTTGATATTTTGCTATTTGGCTCCAAACGAACGTGTTTACAAAATATTGAGCTTAAATGTGTAAAGTTGTCCTTATGGCGAAAGGCCATTATAAAGATTATAAAATGGATGTATATGATTAAAGATGTTAATCGAAGTATTACGGATCATCCGGGTGGATGTAGTCCTAGTACGTTGCCGGGGGAAAAATCGTCGAACCTCTGGGACCAGGGTACAGTCCAAGATGTGAAGCGCGAAAATCTAATACAAAGCGCGAAAATTACAAAGTTTAAAGGTCGTACCGGCTGAACTTAAAACGTCGAAAAATAATCATTAAATCACGGCTATTTACTTTGTTTACCCGTTCACGTGCTATACCCGGGACAAGGTTGTCCAGACACTTTTTTCCTGTTTCCAAGCCTTCTCATGATCTTCTGCTAAACAATTAAAAAAACCTCGTGATTGATCCAAGCTTTGTTTTGCACAGCAGTAACAACTGAGACGGATTATCCCGTCTTTAAAGACTGACAACTTTTGGGATATATATACCGGCAATTAAAGGTCGTCAGAAAAGAAAAAAAATTCATGATTGATAGCCTGGCGATAAGCGATGGGTCATTTCAACGGCTCCAAGAATAGCTGGAACTAGGTTGATGTTTCTTATTATTATGTTTAAATTACAAGCAACGCAATGTTTCAGCTAAGTCAAGAGCCGAGTCGAATCAGCTGGTCATGCCAGAACACGGTTTATGGTGTTGCTTGTAGTTGAAACATTCAGTTCGGTGACAGTTTAGTGATCTTATGCCCATAACTCTTTTCGGTCTTAGAATAGCTTGGGAAGTTACGGGTGGTGCTCGCATCTCAACATTCAATGCGACCGCAAGTTTCTAGTCCTGCAGACGAGGGTTTTTCGCCGGGCTCCCCATTTTTCCGCCCTCCACAAAAATCAATTTCTAATTCCAAATATTGGAATCCAGGGAAGGGCCACTCTGAGTAATCTCCTTTCGGCTCCGACCTCTTTTGAGAGGTCCTTAACGGGGGAACTGGGAACTGGGATTTGTCTGTTTTATACTGGGAAAAATTGAATTTAGGATATTGGGAACGGAAGAAACAAACAACAAAATGGGAATGGGAAAAAGTTAAAAAAGAGAGAAGAATTCGGGGTTTGGACGCTGGGAAGTGGAATTTTTCTTGTGGGACATCATCTCCAGCCATCAGTTATCATTGGCCTTCTCTATTATGATCAGAAGAAAAAAAGCCATTAAATTCACCGGCTTTTCGCCGCTAGCCGTCACGTGGTATAAATTGTGATGGATTGTGTTACGGTCACCAAGAAGTTCGGACATTGTTCTCGGATTCCCATATACAAACACACTGAGCATAAAGAAAAAAATTTAGATAGATTTCTTTAGTTAGCTATCTTAGAGTGACCACAGTAAATCCGTGAAACTTTAGTAATACTAAATAGCACAATTTCATGCAAATTCCATTGTTTTCTATTGTTTAACTAACACTATTTTGTACTATTTAGTAATTAGTGTTTCACGGATTTACTGTGGTCACTCTAACAGCAATAAGAAAAGCTTCAATCAAGCTAGAAAAATGATATTTTACTTGTATTTAGAGAGCTAAATAAAGAAAAACTTCTTGGTGACCGTAACACAATCCAACACAATTTATACCATGTGACATCTAGCACCGAAAATGTGAATTTACATAATATAAACCGCACTATCTCTTGTGAAATTCCTTAGCGTACATTTTGTTCCAATCCCATTGTTTAGGGGGAAATTGGCAAGAAAAGGGCAGCTACAGATGGTCTGGATGTATCTTCTTTCCCAGATGCAGGATATACTCATGAACCAATACTGGATACCCTTTGATTCTGCCCCCGAGATTGAGCATCACCCACTCATCTACCCCCAAGCATCAGGTAGTGTGTGATGTCTGCAGTACATCTAAATATACTGTATGAGTTAGTATCTTCCACCATCAGTTACCACTCCCTTCTCCATTTGGGTTACCGTCTTTCCCTTGCCACGTGGATAACCATCTCCTAACATCAAAATCTCACTCTCCCAATTTTAAAGTCTGATGGGTACAGCAAGCTACCTTATAATTTTGGGATTTTAGAAATCACATATGACTTCCAAAACAGACTATAACTAACTTTTCCTGGTCAGTTAAAAAGAGTGTGGGTAATGAAGAATAAAATAACAGGTTAAAAAATTTATGATGTCTCTAATAATATTATGAGGGGTAAGACTGTGAGAAACCCAAGAAAATATCCATACCCCACCCATGGAGGAGATTGGAAATTCTGAAGGGTAGTGGGGTCATAGAAAAAACAAAATTGCACTGAGTTTGTTCTTCAGGTGCATGGTGGTGGGGGGGGGGGGGGGGGGGGGGGGGGGGGGGTCCATTTAAAAATTTCCTCTGTGGCAGGGTATGGATATTTTCTGGAACTACGCATTAAAGACTTTTGTCCCTAAGGAAGGGGCTTATGAAGTGAAGAACAAGTAAAGTCAATCAAAACAAATTATGTGCCAATGAAAATACACGCAGAGAGTGAACATCAATGGAGGACTTTTTTCACAGTTTAATGGAGCTTAAATAATAATATGTACCTGTTGTTGTATATGAAATGCATAACCCTGCATTAAAAATCAAATCAAAAAAAGTGATACAGCATAACCCAGCTTTTGATACATTTAATACTTTATTTATTCATTAGGCTCAGATGGTCATTCTGCAAGAACTGATTTTGTTTTTTTGATATTCTTTATCTGAAAAATAGCAAACATAGCAGCTATGGGCATATTACATGAATACTAAACTGATAGAGCAGATTGAGTGGAAACAGTAGTAGTAGTAGTAGTAGTAGTAGTAGTAGTAGCTAGCATCCATGTAAATAAAAAGCCCAAGTCACACACCAATCACTCAAATAATGAAACTAATAAGTAGTTATTAGAAACAAATGAAAATGAAAATTTAGAGGTTATATAAGTGCTTAAAAAAGAAAAAAAGAATGGAGGGAAAAAAAAGGAAAGAAAGGAAAAAAAGATAGAGAGAAAAAAAGAAAGAAATAGAGAAAGAAGGGAAGTTATATAAAAAGAAGGAAGGAAGGAATAAAAAGAAAGGAAAAAGAAAAGAATGAGAAATTTAAGCAAAATCTAAAATAAAAACTTTTTAATCTTTAAAATGGTGAAAACTTACTTTGCTGTTTTAAGTGCCTTTGTTCCTTTTTCTCTCTGTCTTAATCTAGTCCTCAGTGATATAACTGTGCTTTTTAGTTGATCATATGACTGTTTATTATCTAGAAAGGTTTCTTTTAATTCCTATAAAATCAAAATATGAACTTTGTGTTATAAAAACTGATGCTTTATGTTTATAAGTAAACATTGATATTATTACAATATCTTCCACATAATTACCCTACCCTCCCCCTTTAAGCAACTTCCAGTACAGCTTTGAAATTTTAAAAGAAATACAATAGAAACAATATAATATTCTTTTTTTTTAAGATTAAAACTGTTATTACACAGTAGTTATGCGATAGGGATTATAGACAGTTTTCAAGTTTCCTCAGTAGTAGATCATTATTCAACAAGACTGGGAATTTTGTGTATAGCTTAATTTGTTTCGTTGGAAGTCAAAACCTGGCTACATGAAAAATAATCAGAAAACAGGACTGTTGAATTCTTGGGGTGCAACCACATGACCCAAAATCCCTTGTAATATCGAATATAACAATGAAACAGCCACCATGTTGGTTGATCTAACAAGGGAAGCTAATGATGAATGTTTGTTATCATCAACTAACATGGCGGCTATGATGTAACATGCATCCCAAGAACATCCATGGAAAACATAAGGGCTTGCACATGGCCAATGATGCACATAGCCTGGTTGGTGTACACTAGTGGAACTGATTTTTAGGTAGCACACGTGTTTCCTTGGATATTCAGCAATGTGGTTTTTTATTGAATAAAAGTAAAATTTTTGAAGCTTGTTCTTGTAGATCTTATTGTTACAAATTCTCCTAGTCTTGTCTACAAGATGGTCGGTTGCTATGGCTTTTTCTCCCGCAAGGGTCTTAAATTCACATTTTGGCTTACAGAGGTGTAGTTTCTATTCTAAATAAAGCAAGACATTGAAACAGGTGTTATTTAGAAAAAAAAAGATTCTAAAATTTTACAATAGTAACGGTATTCTTGACTTTTCTTGAAATTATGATGTCATAAGTAACACTTATTTTTAGTAACAACGTTAAAAATTTGTAAAGCAGTGTTAAAAGTGTTATAGATATTTTTGCTACACAAAGAGCATATTTACAGTGAAAACCAGATCTCATTCGGATACAACAGCGTAAAGTTACAGCTAATGAAAGAAATTCAAATTTCCTGCCAAATGACCATATATGGTCAAACTTTAGGGGTATTTAAACGGCCAGACAATGAATGTATTCGCACAGGAGCAGCGACGAGGTGGTATAAAATCAAAATTGTAGTTTTTTTGACTTGAGGTTTATAGGACTATGACGCGTCTTTCGTCACGCAACATGTCATTGTGACCTCATAATGACGTATTGTGACGTCATAATGACGAAAGACGCATCATAGCAACCGACCATCATGCTAATGCACCTATCAATGACAAGCCCCAGGGTGGGTAACCTAAGCAGAATATAACATTTTGTTTTTGAAATTCTTAAATTCCATGACCCACGGAAAACTGATGAATGTGAAATTTCCACCCTTAATACGAATGTTTATAGTATTTTCTGGCCTTTTCAAATTGGGGGCCACATCAAATTCCCTACTGTGGGTACATTGAATAATGCCTATTTTCTGAGGGTAATAGGGGTTTAATAGTGATGGATGCATGACTCAAAAACAATAGGATGGTAATGAATGGACCCTTCTTAAAAGTATCATGGATGACAACAACAACAACAACAACAACAATAACAACAACAATAATAATAATAATAATAAATGATTTATTGACTTGCTGTAGCGCCTTTGAACATTAAGATGATTTCTGGCATGTCTTTTGTGTTTCCAAGTTGGCCCCATCCATGATAATGGAAGTTTTTACCACTAGAAACTTGAACAACTTAACTTGGTTATGATTTATTTATCATTTTTCTGATATAACAATATAGATAAGAGTCACGTACGCAAAGAATTCCTCACCTTTCTACGTCTCCGACTCCCATGCCGAGAAGCATTACAACTAGAAGTACATGGAATGTCTTTTGGTTTTACTTTAATGTTGTCGTGTACACTAGGATATACATTCACACCAAAATCATCTCTTTTCAGCCTAGGTATCCAAAACTTTTCAAATCCTTCAAGACTGCTGTATCTTCTTTGGAAATCATCAGCTGTAAAATGCTTCGAACATATGACCGACCATCTACTGGCTTCCCAGTTTGCGCGCTCTACTTGTACAAATTCGATCCATTTTCTTCTTCTTTCTTGAGGAATTGGACGATTATCATCCCAATAAGGAATAGCATGAAGCGCTATTCCTTTTTCTAGGTCTGGAATGTTGCTGCACCCGATCACAACGCATCTATTTGGCATGATATTCGAGTGATATTCTTTAGTATTTACAGAGAACGTTTAGATCTACTGTTCCTGGTGTGACGTCTGGATGCTAGTGCCAGACTGTTATGGCACTTTGTACCACAGGGAACCCAAAGACCCATATTCCATTTCTCTGTGTTTCTGCAAAGTCTGCAAGAGACTGAAGATTAATATTTTAAAAAAAAATAAAGTCTTGGTAATATTCTTGGAAATATCAATGTTCAGGCTATCGTGAGAAATGATATGAGATACATACCGCAACCAAACTCCCCCACCTCCCTCCCCCAAACACAAAGGCACAAACACATAGGGACAGAATATGATGGACTTCAGGGTACGTTTACACTCAGTTTGTTTCGAGGCTTGTAGTCAACTAGAGACAACTAGACTCAACACTGACATATAGGAGCGGATAAATATCTGAAAACGAACCCTCTAAATGAAAAGTACGAAGTCCCTAATTAACAGGACATATTGATTGCATCATATTGGGTCATATTGCTTCTGAATATCGATGGCATCAAGCTGTGTACAGCCAGCCGTGTCCACAGCCATGTATGATTAATTCGTCATCTAGGGTTTCGTTTTCATTTCTATTGCCATTTTTTCCAGTTATCACTAATTTCAATTTTCTTTCTACATTTTTTGCTGTGTTCACTTTCGTCCCCATTTTTGCTTTCATTGTTAACTGCTTTTATTTTTAAGTTAATTTTTCATTTATTGTAAGCAATACTGAGGGTTGAAAATAAACGCTGTACAAAAATCGATAAGAAAATTTCTTTTATTAGAAATAACCGATACAACAGCTGTATTTAGACCATTGGCAAGTTCTAACATTTGCTGTCATTATTTTGAAAAGTGTAGAGAAACCTTTTTTTAATCAAACAAGATAAAAACCAATTTGGCAAAATGCTCTCAGCAGAATTTAATGTACAAACGTACTCGGTATAAATTATTCGCAGCCTCTTTTTACCTGTAACAACTAAGCAGTGATATTTTCAATAATGCCGAGCAGTGGTCTTTTTAGTAATGCTGAGGCCCGCCGGATGAATCGATACTGATTCCATGACTCTGTGTTTTTGCTCTTTTGCCAATCCCACAAAACTACGACTTATGCAGAAATCAGTCTATTTATATAATTAGTAAACATTCAGTTGGGCTTGCGCAGTTCTCTCAGCTATAAATCAAGCTAAATCACTGGCAGCCCGATAAAAATGAATATATTTTAAGTTCCGCTCCCCCAGTTTAGTAGTATAAAAACTTTAGATTATTGAAATATAATCATATATAGCGTATGATTTTGGTGCATTGTGACGGATTGAACTAGAATTAAATAATGCGTGCGCATACACCTATTTCAAAAAACTTTGTCATCGCCATATAGGCCATTCCGAGACGGAAATGGTTTCGTTGAACACAAAGAACATTGAATCAGTCTCGCAACACTAAGATCCATGTTCTTGACGAGAATAAGAAAAGAAGCAGAAACACAAGTCATTGCAGCTATTCTTGGACCTTGGAATGACCTATCTCCTATCGCTTTTCGCCAATCGCCTATTGCCTATCCTCTTTGGCGATGACAACGTTTTTTGAAATAGGTGTATGTCATCGTAGGGTGGTGATGGGCTGTATTTTGAACTGTAAAAACGTGACTTGACCTTAGTTTTTTGTTTCAGATTCGTGAATGGCCATTTTCATTCATTTCTCGAAACAACGTGATTTGACTGTTTTTAAAACGATCCTTTCGACGAACTTGTCACACGTCACTTGGCTTGTTAAATACCTAGCCTTATTACACCACCTGGAGCTTCACCTGGTGTATAATGTAAGAAAAGTGTCACTTAACCTATTCTGGCATACTTCATGGAATTAGTCTTTGGAGCTGTTATGGAACAGCCTATTCTTCCTCCAAATCCTTCACACCCCTTGTTTTGGACTGTGAAAGGATTTGTTTTCGTCTTTTCCATCATCGGAAATGGTTTCGTAGTATATCTAATGGTAACTCGAACTCAACTTTTAAAAGTCATTTCAAACTGGTTCATTTTGTCGCTGGCGATAGCAGATCTCCTTGTTACTGTAGTAGTATTTGTTCCCGAGGTTTACTTCTTGTGCTTTCGCGACAACATTTTCCCGTGGAACTTCAAGCTCTGTTATGATATGCTGACAAGGACGTCCTGTTACAATCTGTGCGCGTTAACTTTTGAGCGCTACGTTGCTGTTGTAGAGCCCTTGAAATACGGTCGTCTGACCTGTAAAACTAGGTTGATATTTTTAATCATCGCTTCTGTTTGGATTTTAGGGATAGTTTCCCCTTTGCCTTATTACATCTGTTTCCGTCTACACCATTTCGTAGCTTTTCGAGCCGTCATGTTGGTCTTTCTTTTCACTGGCGAATTTCTTCCAACTGTAGTTCTAGTCATGGTATATGCCAAAATGATCCTTGTAGTTCGAAGGCAAGAAAAAATGGTCGAACGACAGAACAAGCAAGTTCAATACAATTATGGTTCAGTATTTGTACAGAAAAACAGATATGACAGAAGAAACCGCTCAAACATCCAAGTCCTTGGTGTTATACTTTCCGTATTTGTTTTATGTTACTCAGTTTCGTGTTATAAAGGTTTTATCAATTACGTCTTATTTAAAGACGTTTCGTATTGGACTATTTACGTCACTCGTATTTTGTACCAACTCAACTCAGCAGTTAATGGTTTTGTTTACGCGTTATTAAAAAAGGACTTCAAGCAAGAAGTGAAAAAAAATCGCATATAAAATATCGAATGGACGAATCGGTAGAAAGCATCCTTAGGACTAGTCTGGAAATCACCTTCACAGGTGACGTATAAGTATCCTGATTAAGACTATTTAGTGAAGTCTGTTCTATTAATGCCCTGGGAAGGGAGCTCGGAGGACGGACGCGACCTTTCCCTAAAGATATGAATTGATCAGGTTTACCACATTGTTTTCTTTACAACTATAATTTATTACTTTTGATTTCAAGATCCATACTAATTTGTACTTTAAACTACACGTCAAAAATAGAAATGTTTTGAAAAATTGCTCCTTGGCTGGATAACAGAAAAATCCTTTGAGTCCAAAAGTGTTTCTCCAAGACTCAGTGACGCTGTTGAAGAACCAGTGTCGAAGAGTCAAATGAAGTTTTCTGTTTTCTTATGCGGTGCCATTTACCATCAATTTAAAAATTCATGAATAATTAATGTCTTTGAGATGACCTTTTACCCCCGTCTCTAGACCATAATCCTTTTCACACTGCTTTTGTTCTTTAATTATGACTATTGTTCCTGTATTCTCTAAGGAATCAAAAATTTTAATATGAAAGAATTCTAAAAACTATTATGGTCTAGAGACGGGGGGTAAAACGTCATCTCGCTTCAGGCTTATTGAATCAATTATTACTTCACGATTTTATAATCCGGCCATCTTCTGCTTTTTAAGCTACTTATATTTTCATGACTTCATATAATTTGTTTTACGCATTACTTATTAGATATTAGGTCATAGAATTCGCTACATGCATATAGTCGAACACGTATTAGTTTATGATACTTTTTTAAAAAGGATGCCATAGGGCCTGACATCGTAAACACCTTTATCAGCATCTTGCTTTGGAGACAACCAGTACTCAGCACCAAGACCTGTGCCATTGGCGGGAATCACGATCAGGTGATCTGCATCCGGTTTTACTCGATTCTGTAGAACTATTTTCCAATTATTTCCTTTGAACTCGAACTCTGTGGCGTAGTACTTCTCGACCATATCAATAGAAGGGCTTGAATAAACTGCTTTAGCAAACCTCTCTTTTGGTCCTTTTTTATAACCTGTGTCCATAATTGCTTTAGCAGACTGCAGGTTTGTGCCATGGTAGGACACAGGCCACTCCCCTTGAGCCTCTTGGGTACGTATACCGTCCGGGCCGAGCCAGGTATCTGACCCGTAAACACCGAGCACTTTGACTGCAAATCTCTTCCAACCATACGGTCGCTTGTATGGCTTCCCTCCTCTCATGTATACCTTACCATCGTCGGATTCATTAGTAAAATCGTAGTTAAAACGAGGGGCTAGTTCGTCTGTATCGAGCTGAAATTCAGGTCCCGTGCCTGGCGAGCGCACAAGCAAGAAAATCGTACCGCCCGGGGGCACGTCGAGACCGGAGATCGTATGATGTTCCTCCAAAGGCCTTCCATCAAACATAAGTCGTTGGTCCCTCGCAGGTATATTTTGCTGTACTTCAACTGCAGCTTTTACCTCGGCAATGGTGTGATGGCCAGTAACACTCACAGTAGTCGTAGCGCCTGTGATGGTCTTGACATGGACCTCAAACGATTCTCCCTCGGGAACATTTTCCAATGTTCTTGGTATATAGGTGCAGTGAAATAGCTTGTTTATCGTTAGCTTAGGTAATCCTTCGCCTGCTGGGCCATGAACGACTTGAAAACCAAGAATAGCCGTGAAACCAGCTGCCATAAGCTCCAAATCTTCATTCGACAAGACCTTCGACATAGTCTTAACTATAGCTTTAAACAACGCAATGTTTGCAATTGTTATATCTTTAGCTTTAGTTATAAATGAATCAAGATCCCAGGTTCAGTAGATATGAGCGGAAGTTAAACTTCAATTGCTTGGAAATTTACCCTACTCTCCCTCCCTGATTTCTATGGCTATTCTATATATTTCTGGGGGGTCTCTATCCGTCACACCCCTTTTCCAAGAATTTCAAAGTACTGCGATTGGGCTTCCTGTGGCATGACCTGGTGACTAAACGTGATCTGCGCATGGTCAGTATTCTTTCAGCAGTGACACGTCGACTCGGTGAAAAACTGCATCAAAAATTTGTATTTTGGGCTGAAATATTTGAAAAATAACACCGATTTAACATGACTACCCTTGCTGAACAACCGTGTTATACACTCGTTAATATATTGAGTGATTCTGAACCTCCTTCGGAGCAGAAACTCAAGGAAGACATCGGTGAGTATGTGGTTCTTACAGTATTATTGATATTCTCCTCCTTTCCTAAATGTCGTCTTCATTTTTATCTATTCTGTTTTTATTTTGTCTCTTATTGATTTTGACACTGATTTACTCGAATTTTTGACGAAAAATTCTGTGTTGACTGCTTGTGAACTTGATCAGCTACCCATTGAACTTTTGAATAGTCTTTCAATCTTTAGAATCTAGTCATTCGGTAATAACATAATAATAACATATCTCTGCCAAATTCCAAGGTAAAAGAGGGTTTTAGATACGGAGATACCAGCGATTGATTACAGCTATTTAAAAAAAGGCTGAATACTGCTTTATACTGAATAGTGCATTCCAAGACCGAAGTGCATTGTGGTTCATAGTGACATTGTCTAAAGTAGGATTAATAATAATCATTTATTCTATTATTAGTGTATTCCATCTGAAACAATTTACTCACTACGTGTAGAGAATTATAGTTGCAGTATAGTTGCTTGGAATGCACTATTCAGTATGCAGTATTCAGTATTCAACCTTTTTGTGAAATAGCTGTATACTCATAATTGAGTTGAAATGTAAGGGTCAACCATCTTTGTGTCCTATTGTGGAGCACAAAGATGGCGGCCAAATAACCAATGTTGAAAATCACTTTTATATTGCAACCACTTCAATATTTTCATAACAATAACAATTAAAATTAAGTTAACAATCACCTACTAAGTTAAAAATGCATTATTTCAATCAAATTTTCCTATTTTTAGTGCTTTGAAAATGTGTCACAGAATTATGTGACAGAATTTGACTCATAATAAATCGAAAACCAAACATCGATAGTACAAATTATTTTGGTAAAGTTTTTTCTTATGACCGCAAGGAAAAAAAGATGGCATAGAAGGACAAATAACACTCCAAAAGTATAACCAAGACCAAGTTGCATGTTGCTTTTTGTTCGTTCTGATTTCTCAAATAACAAATGATTAAAGACAAGATGCAGCCCAAAAAATGACATGGACGAGGACGAGAAGCATTTTTTTACTGACGTCACAGTCAGAAATATTATTGAAGTATAAAGCTTCAAAACTTAAAGACGCAACATTCAAATGAAGAAGTATTTCACCATTCAACTATTTTCTTTACATAGAATCAATACTGAAAAAATTAGGTGGGTTAGGTGCACTTTAAGGTGACTCCATAATAATATTGCAAGTGAATTTAAGGATTCTTTTACCTACAGCTGTATTGATGTTCTTCTTTAAATCGGTAACTGGTCATGACGGCCCCTTGTCATGACGCCCCCAGCCATGACGCCCCCACGTATACCATGACGCCCCCAGTCTGTACTACCATGACGCCCCCAGGTAAACCATGACGCCCCTAGTCTCTATTAACACTTATTTAAGAAGAAGTTTAACGATAATAATATGGCACTACGAACCCTCGTAAATCAAACACTATTGGAGTTGTTTCATGATCATTACGGTTTTAAATAACTCGTTTCTACGCTTCACGTATCCACGAGTTAAAAACGATACATACAAGCTGGCGAACACTAAATCTCTGTTAAGCGATGTAATTTTTGAATTTTGTCCTTAATTAGTTCCAGAACATGATATAGCTGAATTAGAATCATTGAGATGCATTAGGAATCCAACCATAATTCTAAGACATTTTCATCGATTAAAACTTTTACTTCGTGCGATCAAGTCACGCTGTTGTTATGAAGCACTCTCAACACGGCCCGTGATCAACATTTCGGAATGCCTTTATCGGCACGAGAAACCTATAAAAAATTCTTCATATTTAAAGAACATCATTTCGGTGCATTTGGAGTTCTAGAACATCATGTCACAAAGAACATTAAACCTTTTTTGTAAGGATTGTTTTTGAGACGCGCACCTTTGTGTTTCAAACTCTTTTGTTATTTACAGTCAAATGGATAAATGGGTCTACTTCGATAGCTTTTTCAAGTGATTTCGGCAATCTCCGGGAAAGACAAAATATTTCTTCAAGGCATCTGTTTACAGAAAAGGTTTTGAAATTACGAAAGGAAAGTTGAAGAATTTCAACCTCAGAAGTGAATTAGACAGTGAGTTGAGGAATCGAAAGTGACATGTGAAGGTGTATTACAAACACGATGCGTCACGTCAATGTATCACGTTTGTATTTAGATTACAGTAATATCATAGTATGCTCTTTTGATTTATTTTCCATTTTGTAGCTCTAGAATATCATTTTGATATGAACTCTGAAATTCTTCTGTAATGATTGTTTTTGAGATGCGTTTTGTGTTTCGTGTCACCAAGCGAAGACTTCAAACACGGAGGACTTGTGTGACAACAACAGTGTAACGACTTGTCGATTAAATATGGCAAACTACCCGATTTATGTGAGCAATCTTTGTTTGCTTTCCGGAATATTTATTAAAAACACACATGTTTCTCTTCCAACAACGTTTATATGAATAAGGAGGCTATTAAAGTAGAAGAAACATTACGAATGAGTCAAAAGCTTTAGACGCGAACGAGTTGCTGTGATGACAAACCCAGCAATGAAAAGAACTTGTAAAGTGAAAACGGCAAACTACCCGATTTTCATAAGAAATCTTTGCTGATTTACCAAAATATTTAGCAAAAACACACATGTTTCAAAATTACGAATAAGTCAAAAACTTCCTATGCCAAAGAACTATTATGTTACAAGTCTGCGAACTACAACTGCTGAAAACAACTTGTTCGTTCGAGCATAGTTAATGGTTGTGTCAAAGGTTTTGATTCTTTTGCAATGTTTTTCCTACTTTATTCACCAGCACTCTCTTTCTTTTGTGGTATATTTTCAGTGCCAAACTTTTGGAGGGTTTTAGAACTTATGCTTAAGCGAAACAATAATAGGAAAGATGATCACTAGCGTTCTTACGGCAACCACGGCGTACGAACTTGAATTACAAATAATTTATCGGACTTACGAAATTTTGTTGTCAACTTTTTTCCTTTTCGTTATTTTTTGTCGTTTATGGATTTATACTATGAAATATTGTTAAACTTCTTATTAAATAAGAGTTAATAGAGACTAGGGGTGTCATGGTTTATGCTGGGGGCATCATGGTAGTACAGACTGGGGGCGTCATGGTATGCGTGGGGGCATTATGGTTGGGGCGTCATGACAAGGGGGAGTCATGACCGTAAACCTTTAAATCAATACTTTTTATCCCAGAAAAGGGTGATATCAAGATCAAGATAGATGCTTTGAAGAAGGTCATTCAGTTGATTCTTAATGGAGAAAAAATGCCAACACTGTTGATGACAGTCATCAAGTTCCTGATGCCACTACAAGACCACACCATTAAAAAACTGCTTCTTATCTTCTGGGAGATTGTCCCTAAAACAGGACCAGATGGGAAACTACTACATGAAATGATTCTTGTCTGTGATGCCTACAGAAAGGTTGGTACATCATAGAACTTTATAGATAAGTACATACCTGTAACAATTATTCACCAAAGGTAAAGTGAATATAAGAGAATGTTTACTGAGCCACACATCTTTGAGCGGGGAGGTAAATATTCACCATTATATTTAATAAGCCTGAGGTGAATAATTGTTTTAGTGTAATTTTAGACTTGAATATCAGAGAAAAGACAAAATTCAGGATCAAAAAACATCTTAGTATTACTTTTGTGAGCTGGCAAACTTTGGGAAATCTCATGACCACTGCTTGAGCAGTTAATATCATCTCAGAATCACTGGTCACTTAGCCACTCACAAAGCGTGAAACTCTATATTCAAGTCTAAAATTATAATTAGTGTTATAAGGCTAAGTAATTATGAAAAAAAAATTATTTGATGCAATATAATAACCAAGGGTTTTTAAATTTGCAAAGTTCAGTATGGTTCTAAGGTTGTTTCAAGTTTAATTAGAACTGCTGTAGCTTTACATTTTAACAAGCAAAGTTTATATAATACAGTATTTACATGTCTAAACATACAATTTATCTGTATAACTATGTATATATACTGTATCATGTATCTGGGGACATACATTCTGTAGTGGTTAAATTCTAATACTATGAGAGAATGGTCTTATAGTGCATGTGATAGTGCAGTTGTATTTGAAGTCAGTGACTGCTCTAATTTGATAAGTTATCATTGATTTACAGGATCTGCAACATCCTAACGAATTCATCAGAGGGTCGACATTGAGATTCTTATGCAAACTGAAGGTGAGATTTCATTTGGTGAAATATCATTTCAAGAAATTAGTTTTATCCAACTATCCAACAGTGTACCCCAGACTCTACCAATGATGTCTATAATATAGACAAAAGGAGATTTATTACACATTTAGGATCAGTATCTGTGTTATAAAGCCGTGAATGAAAACCATATCAGTGGAGTGATACTATATCACTTCGCGGTAAAGTGGAAATTGCAAATTTTGTCATTTTATCAACCTTAAATATCTAATAAGCAAAATATTACTTGTATGCTAAGAGCTTGATATCTTTTTTATTCACTCGTTTTCCATATGATATCGCTCACTCGTTCGGGATATGATATGGAAACTCGTGAATGAAAACTATATCAAGCTCTTAACATGTGATAATCCATATATAATGTTTTGATATCTTTTGTTTGATAGGAACCAGAGTTACTTGAACCTCTTATGCCAGCTATTAGGAACTGCTTGGAACACAGGCACTCCTATGTGCGACGGAATGCTGTTATGGCCATCTATACCATTTACAAGTAAGATAACATACCATTACTTACTGGCATTGCTTTTTTGCACAACTAAGAACAAAAAATTGAACAATTTCCAAATAAATTCTAAAATACCACCATTTTGTTACCATGAACCTGGGCGCGAAACTTAGAATTACCATATACATTCATATAAATGCAGCCATTTTGTTGCCATGAAAGGGGGACCATGCCCCGCTCAGCCCTCTGCCTACGCCCTTGAGCTTTCCATTAAGTTGAATTGAACAGTCTAAGCAGCCAGTACTCAAATGATCAGTATAACTTGGACAGTGCCCTGATATTCTTATACTCATCTCATGGTTTTTCTTCTAGGAATTTTGAGTTTCTTATCCCTGATGCTCCAGAACTTGTCCATACCTTCCTGGAACAGGAAGGGGATGCTTCATGCAAGAGAAATGCCTTCATGATGCTAATCCATGTTGATCAGGTAAGAAAAGTGCATGGCATTTACGAAAGCAATACAATATACTGTCAGTAGTTTTAAGCAGGACTTATAACGAAACATGTTCAGCACTTATCTTGACTAACATTTTGTATGACTAAATAGTAGATATTAGAGTTATTCATGCCAGTCTATAGGTCACTTTCTATATGATTGTTTATTGTGTTGATATGACTAAATAGCAGATATTAGAGTTATACTCATGCGAGTCTATAGGTCACTTTCTATATGATTGTTTATTGTGTTGACTCAAATGCCTTGACTTGAAGCAATTATTTAAAGCCAATAGAGGATTCCCATAAGAGTATAATTCTAATATCTGCTAATTCAATTCTGTTCAGTCTCACCATCTTATAAACCTGTCTTCCTTTGAATATTTTGACCAACTAACCTTTCAAAGTGAAGTAACTAATGGTCATGAATGATGCCCCTCATTTAGTTGCAGTTTTTTCAAAATCAGGGAGTTTGGTTGGGGGAGGGTTGGGGTATAATGTCAAAGCTTCTTTGACATAGACACAGGGCTTAAAATAACGACCAGCTGGGGTATAGATACCAGCAAGGTATAGATATTTCCTGATCTGTATGCATGTACTTTGATGTTTTCAGGAGAGAGCCCTTGAGTACCTGAGCACATGTATTGACCAAGTGAACACTTTTGGTGATATCCTACAGCTGGTTATTGTGGAACTTATTTACAAGGTATTGGAGAGAACTTCTGGGCCATGTGAGAAATGAAATGATGGGGAATGTGAAATTTGGAAAATATGTTAATTTTTTAAAATGCAAACTTTTATACAGAAATATCAAAAGAAGGGAAATTAGGACATGTAAACTTCATATAGGATGTTTAGACAACATTGTTGGAGTAAAAAATAGAAATTGAAAAGAAGAAACTTAGAAAAGAAAACAAGAATGAAAGATGAAGACATGAACCAAAGATAATATCAGAAAGTAGCCTAAGTATCTAGATGCTGAAGACAATTAAGAATAACTGTTCTTTATCACCAGGTGTGTCATGCCAATCCAGCAGAACGTTCAAGGTTCATCCGCTGCATTTATAACCTGTTGAACTCATCCTCGCCTGCCGTTAGATATGAGGCTGCTGGTACTCTTGTCACCCTCTCATCTGCACCTACTGCTGTCAAGGTAAACCCTTCAATGACATGTTTCAGCACTTTGCAATATTAGGAACTTATTCTGTACTTTGTTTGCACATGGTTATCACAGCCATGTTGACTCATGTTTTTTCCCCCTGCAAATGATAAACATGACCAGGTTTTCATCGTTTTCTTGTACATGTATTTCACTTTACCTTTTGCTAACTTTCTCACCGCACACAAATATTCTTTCGTTTATTTACTACTTGGAGATTTTTTGTGATTCCTTTTCACTAATGAAAAAAAAAGTTTTTACAAGTGCTGGTCAACTGACGCTTCACACTTGTCATATACTGTATCGTAAAATTAGATTCTAAAATGCTCTATTACGTGTAGCTTGGAACCTTTGTTAATACCACCAACATAGTCACCATATCTTTGTCTTCTTGAAAATGATTGCTAATCACCAATAAAAATATGAAGTAAATGTATTATGTTTTGCTTCATCTAAAAATATAAAATGTATTTACAGCACTTCTTAATCACACATGAAATTGTACAACTTTTGTTGCAAAAAATACAGTTTTTGTGGTTGCCAATCAAAATGTTTCCATAAAATTGTCAGAGAACACAATGTTTTCAAGGGCATACATGCCTATGGAATGTCATGGATACACCTTGATTGATGTCCACTAAAACTTGACTAATGATGACTACAAATTGTACAATTATGTGTGTGTTATTGAAAAGCCTTGCAGTATAATTGATCACTAATTATTTTATTGTCTTCATAGTCTGCTGCATCATGCTATATTGAGCTGATTGTCAAAGAAAGTGACAACAACGTCAAGCTGATAGTACTGGACAGATTGATAAAGCTGAAGGAAAACCCAGCACATGAGAAAGTACTGCAGGTAAAATGACCAAACAACCTTTGCCTGCAAAGCACTTTATAACTGACTGATTTTAAGAGTAAATGCTTTGAACCCTGGTGTTGAAGTTTGGTGTGAATTGTGATTGTCTGGGTGAGTGTAGTCTTGAGAAAGACTGTTGATGATGGTGACTGATGTTTCGTCAACCTGAGCGGAATTCATCTTCAGAGTCCAGTGAGAAAATGGTTTTCCTCTGATTTTCAAGACTACACTCACCCGGACGATCACATTTCATGCCAAAAAAGACTGATTTTAAGATAAACAAATTTTTTTCAATTATTTGATGATTTAATTATTGTTTGACAGGAACTTGTGATGGATATTCTACGTGTTCTTGGCTCACCTGATCCAGAAGTCAGAAAGAAGACTCTTCAGCTTGTGCTGGATCTGGTTACTTCTAGAAACATTCATGAGGTAAAAATACCCAATTCCTTATTGCTACCAACATATTTTTTTTCCTTTTTTTGGATATACATTCATGGGTGGTGTACCTGCACTCACTCCCTCCTATGCAGTTAATTCTGGTTCAACATCTTTGTGTAGGGTTTGTTAGATCTCTGCCTTGATTTGAAAAGTGTTTTCTCCTGATTCTCTGGTTTTCTTCCTATCCCAAAACCTGTCACTGTAAATTCCAATTCAATCTCCTTTTTAGCTGCTCCCAAAGTTTTTGGGGCAGATGAGGTTAGAGACGCTTCAGGTTTCGATGCTATTGATATTTTTTAATGCTATTATTTTATAAAGATCATTATTGGTACATCTTTGTCTATTGCTGATAGTTTTGTTTTGTACTTTTGTACCAGGTTGTGGCGGTGCTTAAGAAAGAAGTGACAAAGACCCACTTTGAAAGTGAACATGCAGACATTGGTACTTACAGACAGGTAACACTTTGGTAACATTGTACTGCAAAATACTGGGTCTCCATTTTGATAGTGTTTACAGAGTTACAAATAACAGCTGATCACTTGCCCACAACCAGTCAGGTTTTGGCTTGGTCATGGCTTGGTCATGGCTTGGTCATAGCTTGGTTTTGGCTTGGTCATGGCTTGGTCATGGCTTGGTCATG